TTTTTTCATTACCCATTCAAGTCGTCTCCAACCATTATTAGTCTCAAAATGGGTTCCTCGTCATCGAGTTTGTGTTTTGTATGTAATTCTTGTGTTTTTGAATTGGTATGGCTAGTGTTTTGTACGTAACTACTGTGTTTTGAAGATATTATTATTATTACACCAGTTGAATTCTGCCTGGTTAGAAATGTCGCGGATTCAAATCCAGCTCGATTTCTACGTCCATTCCTTCTGAAGAGTATTAACCTCGTAGGATGATGTCCCATCCCGAACAACACAAGTACTTTTATAACTACACATACCTATTTAGAAATACCTGACTGTAAGAACAATCTCGCAATCAACCGGCGAAAATGTTGTTTTATCACTATGTCAACGTAAGCATTAGATAGAATAAATATACAAATACTTCAAGTTACCATTACCATCAAATATAACATTGTGTTTAAATAACTTTATTCCTAAAATCACATAATTTAATAATTTGAAAACAAAATCTGTATTCTCGTTTCATAAACAGTAGCTACTTGTATATAAATAGTAGCTAGTTGTACATACACAGTAGATAGTTGTACATAAACAGCAGCTAGTTGTACATAAACAGTAACTAGTTCTATATAAACAGGACCAGTTGTATATAAAGAGCAGCTAGTTATACATAAGCAGCAGGTAGTTATACATAAACAGCAGGTAGTTGTACATAAACAGCAGTTAGTTCTACATAAACAGCAGCTAGTTGTACATAAACAGTAGCTAGTTCTATATAAACAGGACCAGTTGTATATAAAAAAGCATCTAGTTGTACATAAACAGCAGTTAGTTATACACAAACAGCAGGTAGTTGTGCATAAACAGTAGGTAGTTCTACATAAACATAAGCTAGTTGTACATAAACAGTAGCTAGTTCTACACAAGTAGTAGCTAGATGTACATAAACAGTAGCTAGTTGTGTATGAACAGAGCTAGTTGTGCATAAACAGTAGCTACTTGTGCATAAACAGTAGCTAGTTCTATATAAACAGCAGATAGTTGTACATGAACAGCAGCTAGTTCTACATAAACAGTAGCTAGTTGTACATAAACATAAGCTAGTTCTATATAAACAGGGCTAGTTGTATATAAAAAGCAGCTAGTTCTACATAAACAGTAGCTACCTGTACATAAACAATAGCTAGTTCTACATAAACAGAAGCTAGTTGTACACAAACATCAGCTGTTCTACATAAAAAGCTGTTAGTTATATATAAACAGAGCTACTTGTATATAAACAACAACTTGTTCTACATAAACAGCAGATAATTCTACACAAACAGCATCTAGTTGTATATGAACAGAGCTAGTATATATAAAAAGCAGCTAGTTGTACATAAGCAGTAGCTATCTGTACATAAACAACAGCTAGTTCTATATAAACAGCAGCTAGTTGTACATAAACAGAAGTTATTTATTCATAAACAGCAGCTAGTTCTACATAAACAGTAGTTACTTGTACATAGACAGGAGCTAGTTGTACATAAACAGCAGTTAGTTATACACAAACAGCAGCTAGTTATACATAAACAGAGCTAGTTGTATATAAAGAGCAGCTACTTGTACATAAACAGGAGCTAATTGTACATAAACAACAGTTAATTCTACATAAACAGTAGCTAGTTGTACATAAACAGCAGCGGGTTCTACATAAACAGTGGCTACTTGTACATAAATAGTAGCTAGTTGTACATAAACAGCAGCTAGTTGTACATAAACAGTAGATAGTTGTACATAAACAGCAGTAGTTCTACATAAATAGCAGCTAATTCTACACAAACAGCAGCTAGTTGTATATAAACAGAGCTTTTGTATATAAAAAGCAGCTAGTTGTACTTAAACAGTAGCCACCTGTACATAAACAACAGGTACCTGTACATAAACAGTAGGTAGTTGTGCATAAACAGCAGTTAGTTTACATAAACAGTAGCTTGTTCTACATAAAAAGAGCTAGTTGTATATAAACAGCAGTTAGTTATACATAAACAGTAGCCAATTCTACACTAACAGCAGCTAGTTGTATATAAACAGAGTTAGTTTTATATAAAAAGCTGCTAGTTGTACATAAATAATAGCTAATTGTGCATAAACAGTAGCTAGTTCTATATAAACAGCAGATAGTTGTATATAAACAGCACTTAGTTCTAAATAAACAGTAGCTAGTTGTACATAAACATAAGCTAGTTCTATATAAACAGGCTAGTTGTATATAAATAGCAGCTAGTTTTACATAAACAGTAGCTACCTGTACATAAACAATAGCTCGTTCTATATAAACATTAGCTAATTGTACATAAACAGCAGCTAATTCTACATAAACAGTTGTTAGTTGTACATAAACATAAGCTAGTTCTGTATAAACAGAGCTAGTTGTATATAAAGAGAGCTACTTGTACATAAACAGAAGCTAGTTGTACACAAACAGCAGCTAGTTCTACATAGACAGTAGCTAGTTCTATATAAACCGAGCTAGTTGTACATAAACAGCAGTTAGTTATACATAAACTTAAGCTAGTTGTACATAGACATAAGCTAGTTGTACATAAACAGTAGCTAGTTGTACATAAACAGTAGCTATTTCTACACCAGTAGTTGCCAGTGGTACATAAACAGTAGCTAGTTGTGGATAAACAGAGCTAGTTGTATATAAACAGTAGCCAATTCTACACTAAGAGCAGCTAGTTGTATATAAACAGTGCTAGTTTTATATAAAAAGACGCTAGTTGTACATAAATAATAGCTAATTGTGCATAAACAGTAGCTAGTTCTATATAAACAGCAGCTAGTTGTACATAAACAACAGTTAGTTATACATAAACAGTAGCTAGTTGTACATAAACAGTAGCTGGTTCTACACAAGTAGTAGCTAATTGTACATAAACAGTAGCTAGTTCTACACAAGTAGTAGCTAGTTGTACATAAACAGTAGCTAGCTGTGTATAAACAGAGCTAGTTGTATATAAACAGTAGCCAATTCTACACTAACAGTAGCTAGTTGTATATAAACAGTGCTAGTTTTATATAAAAAGCAGCTAGTTGTACATAAACAATAGCTACTTGTGCATAAACAGTAGCTAGTTCTATATAAACAGCTGCTAGTTGTACACAAACAGCAGCTACTTCTACATAAACAGTAGCTAGTTGTACATAAATAGTAGATAGTTGTACATAAACAGCGGTAGTTCTACATAAACAGTAGCTGCTTCTACATAAACAGTAGCTAACTAGTTGTATATTAAGAACAGCTAGTTATACATAAACATCAGCTAGTTGTCTACAAACCGAGCCAGTTGTAGAGATAGTAACCAGTGATAACTATATATTTCTCAACGCTTTACAGCTTTGTTAATCAAGAGATAGAAACACTAACTGTGTTCCAGTGAAACGTTAGTGAAAAAAAAATTAACCGGATACTGACTGTTTCTCTTCATTAAACATGTTCACGTTACGATTTGTGATTCGATGGGTTATTTGACTATAAAGATAATACATAATGTGTGTGTCAACATCCATCACCCAGAGTTGGTAGGCTCTATTACACATAATGTGTGTGTTAACATCCATCACCCAGAGTTGGTAGGCTCTATTACCGTAATATTTTGTGTTAACATCCATCACCCAGAGTTGGTAGGCTCTATTACCGTAATATTTTGTGTTAACATCCATCACCCAGAGTTGGTAGGCTCTATTACCGTAATATTTTGTGTGTGTTAACATCCATCACCCAGAGTTGGTAGGCTCTGTTACCGTAATATTTTGTGTGTGTTAACATCCATCACCCAGAGTTGGTAGGCTCTATTACCGTAATATTTTGTAAGGTAAATGGAAACTGTCCAGAAATTTACATGGGCTTTTAGTTTTAGGACGTTTACCTAGGAAGGAGGATGAAATAGCCGTGAAATATGGAACATTTTCACGTTTTTTTATAGACTTTTGGCTGTTAATTTAAAGACACAAGTTCTTAATCAGTTGAATGAGTGTTTTACTACCATCCGTAAAGGGGGGTATACAATTTATCTCTAATGAAGTCGTTACAGATTTGATAACATAAGAAAGAAGGAGGGGAACATAATCTAACGTTGTCCTATATAACAGTTTTTGCTTCCTTTACAAGTACAAATAATAGTTCCACCAGATTCCATAATTGGGCAACATTTATAACATGTATCATACTTTATTAATTGTCAATATCTTGATAAAAGGTCCTATTTCAGTAAGCGTAATTATTTGTTTTCAAATTCGATGACGAGGAACACACTTTGAGATTAATAATGGCTGGAGACGGCTTGAATGATGATGACAAAATGATGATGACGGCCTGATGATGACAAAACCTTGTCGAAACGTTGTACATTTGCTGTTATGTTAAACTTATATTAAAGTTTTTCTTCATTACCCATTCAAGCCGTCTCCAGCCATTATTAGTAATTATTTGTTATTTTGTATATATATATATATATCTCAAACGAAATAAAAATGCTTTAAAATTTTTCTCAGATTTATATATTCATATTTTTTAGTAACCAAATGTGTAAAATCACAGGTTTTATTTGTTGCATTTTTCTGTACAATTTCACTTTAATACTTAACATTGGTTATCGCGATATATTTCTAAGAGTTATTTCAATCCTATATGACGTAATCTTTTGACGTAGGTAACGTCACGAGTCGTATGATCTACACTCATAACTTCTGAATATCTACGCAGAAAATAAATCCAATTTTATTATGAATTAATGATTCGCTTAAATTAAATATGGAAATAAAGAATTGGAAAACCAAGGTTTTTGCATAATGTTTTCGCATTTATATTTTCTACAATCAAAACGTTTTTGTATAATTTTTTATTGTTTAAATCGCGGAGGAGCAACTGAGATAAATGAGTAATAACCTCGTGATAGAGGTTCGTTTTGTAATTGTAAGTTTGTTATTTCTTCCGCTAGGTGACTAGTGTACGAAGATAGATACCGTGAAAGTGCGTGAGGTTAGTTGTTTTCCTTTACAGAAAACTTCAGCGACGTGAGAAACAGCAGAAGAGACCCGACTTTTAAGAAAACTACATCTGTTTTTCAGTTTCTCTATATTTTCTTTCTGCAAAGAGACTTAAATCTAATTTCAAAATGGTAAAAGGTGGAATGTCCGTAGTGAAGTACTTACTGTTTCTCTTCAACTTCTTATTCGTGGTAAGTCCATGGTTAAAATAATCACTAGTCCATTTTCTGTTCAAAACTTCATTGTATTATATACTCATAGTACAGATTTTATAGAAAACCTACAACCTACAGGTTTGCAATGTATACTCTAAAGTAGGTCTGACTCTTAAGGGAGCTGTAACGCTGGGGCGTTTGCCCTATCAGTAATTTGGCCAGTAAAGTTTTTTCTAAAGTTTCCTTTGGATATATTTTGTAATTCCACGACGTTTCCCATCAACGTCACCTGACGGTCAAGTGTTTCCATTGTTAGATTAGTGTTAAGTCAAGCGATAGTGTTGCGTTTCTATGCTCTAAAGTCAAAGCAATTATAAGATGAACTTTTCACGCATATCTAAAGTTAACTGCAAGTTTATGACAGTTTCAGTTTTGTTGTCGATGCGTCGTGGTTAGAATAACAACAAACAGTAACGGTGACAGTCGGCCGAGTCAGTGATTGGTATGTGGTTCGTAGATCTAGGGTTCGCGTCCCGTAACCGCAATAAAACAAACTGTGCTCCGCAAGTTCAGGCCGTGGGTGCGTTATAAGAGTGACGGTCAAGTCCACTATTCGAGCTGACAATAGTTAGTCGTGGGTATTGTTGACCAGCTACCTTCCCTCCAGTGTATAAGTTCAAAATTCGAGAAGGTTAGCGCAGATAGCCCTTTTGTAGCTTTACGAGAAATCCAACAAACAGGTAGCAGATATATATTTCCAATAGTATTACATGTATTATTATGGAATATATTAAGCCTAGTCTCGTTACTCTTTACATGTGCCTGTACTTGTAATACAAAACAAGCTTTATAAGGTTACCAACCTAATCAGTTTTATCAAGAGATAGATTCGTCAAGACGTTGGTACACAATTGGTTTCTTCACTGAAACTAGTTAGGTTTTCTGATAAGAAGACAGGATTGTATGTTTACAACTTAGAAGTATCAGGATTGTATGTTTACAACTTAGAAGTATCAGGATTGTATGTTTACAACTTAGAAGTATCAGGGTTGTATGTTTACAACTTAGAAGTATCAGAAAGCAAACTGATATCTTAAAATTTTAATTTCTCCTTACTAGGAATGGCTTATACACTGAAGTACGATTTACTTTAAATATACAGATAAAAGTTTGATATTTAGTTGATCTTAGCACTGACAGGTTAGTTTATTGAATGACGTGGAGAAAAACTAGAAGCTTCACTTAGAACAGAGGCGTCGGTACCTGCGGTGCTGTAGCACACCCACTTTTGCATACATGACTTATATAACAATTGTAAATTTAATTACTATATTTATTTTCTGGGGTGCATGCCCCAGATCCCCCCCCATCCCCAGATTGACCTGTCTTTGACAACAAGGAAACTGCTTTTAGCAGCACTTTATACTTTCAATTTCTCATTGTAAAACGTGCATGTCTAGCCAAGCATCCAGACTTCACAACTCTTTCTTACACCACTGACTTCACAACTCTTTCATACACCACTGACTTCACAACTCTTTCTTACACCACTGACTTCACAACTCTTTCTTACATCACTGACTTCACAACTCTTTCTTATACCACTGACTTCCCAACTCTTTCTTACACCACTGACTTCCCAACTCTTTCTTACACCACTGACTTAGAAAATGGTGTTATTAAAACAAAGAATAGTATATAGAGTTTATGGGAAACGAAAAAAAACTAGCTTAAGACTAAAATTACTTTACTGTACACTAATCAACAGATACGAACTGAATCGATGCTGACTGATATTACCATATGTGACATTTATTTTGTTTACTGTACACTAATCAACAGATACGAACTGAATCGATGCTGACTGATATTACCATATGTGGTATTTATTACTTTTACTGTACACT